CCATACCCTGGGCTTCAGACCTCCACACCTGCACTGGGAGGTGCACTCTTCTCAGAAATGACTAAACATATCAAAAAAACAAGAGTGACCTTCCTCTCCAGGAAAGCAACAGGAATAGAAGAAATACTTTGAATAAGAATATGTAAAATAATTGAATTTTTTTTCAAATAATTGTTATTGTCAATGGATGTTTTTTAACACATGCTAGACAAGTACAGTATTACTGAGCAACAACCCCAGCCCCAAGCAATTGTAATAATCATGTTTTTATTTTTTTCTTTCTATCTCTAATCTATGTATCTTCCCAGACAACTAGAATTTCCAGCAAATGGCCAATGCAAGCATGGAACTGAATTTCTCCTCCTGAGCTCTCCCGAGGGCTGGGATCTGAGTTTCCTCTATTTCACAGTATTCCCAATGACCCACCTGGTTACCTTGTTAGGGAACCTTCTCATTGTAACTGTCACCACTGCTGACCAGAACCTGCACACACCCATGTACTTTTTCCTCAGGAACATGTCCATCTTGGACATGTGCTTCATTTCTGTCACTGTCCCCAATGCCTGTGTCAACTCTCTCACTGGCAACAGGGCCATTTCAGTGCCTGGCTGTGCAACACAGATCTTCTTGGTCATTTTCTGTGCATCTGCTGAATATCTGTTTCTCACCATCATGGCCATGGACCACTATGTGGCCATCTGCCAGCCCTTCCAGTACCTGCTCATCATGAACCCTCAGTTTTGTGTCCACATCATCCTGGCTTCCCTGCTCAGTGGTCTGCTGTATGCAGGTGAGCACACTGGAAACACATTCCGGCTGTCCTTCTGCCAGTCAAATGTGGTCCATCAGTTCTTCTGTGATGTCCCCTCCCTGCTGAGGCTCTCCTGCTCAGACACCACCAGTAACCAGGTCCTCCTTCTTGTCTCTGCTGTGCTGATTTGTGGTAGTTGCTTTACATTTATTGCCATGTCATATATTCGCATATTTTCTACTGTGCTGAAATTTCCCACTAGGAAGTCAGTGAAGGCCTTCTCCATCTGCACCCCTCACATCCTCGTGTTTTCCATGTTCCTCAGTTATGGCACAGCTGTGTACCTGAGGTCCTCAGCAACCTCTGACATCCTCCAGGACATGGTTTTCTCTGCCTTTTACACCATGGCTCCTCCCTTCCTTAATCATCTCATCTACAGTCTAAGGAACGAGCAGGTAAAGGAAGCTGTGAGAAGATTAATGCAAAGATAGTTGTTCTCAAGGAAACAATAAAGATACATTTCAGTATCATCCTAATTTTTCTGAGTGAAGTTCAAGATTAGGTCAAATGTTCTTCATATCTGGGTGACACATTTTAAACTGCCAACTCTAATGTCACTTTGTTTGAATATGAGATTTTTTATTATTTGATTTTTTTCATTTACCATATTATTCCATGGATACTTTATAAAATGTGTAATTTAATCAACGTGTCTTTTAATGAATGAACATAATTTAATATATTTGTTGAAATCATTTGTGGAGGCATGCATTAAAGATTCATCAAATACATAGCAGTACCTATATCAAGTACTGTCACAGAGAAAAACTTTACCAATCAAATCTGAAAAAAACTTACACTCACATAATATGCTATTATTCAGAGAAGTG